AGAGAGAGAGAGAGAGAGAGAGAGAGACGGGGGTGGGGTCCCAGTTCACACTGAGCATGTGCATGTGCAAAATCTCGCCAGGGAAGGAGACAGTGCTCCAGGCGGGAGGAACCCAAGCACAGCCACGCAGCCAGGAGGGAAATAGGCTGGAGAGTTAGGTAGGAAAAGATCAGGGCACACTGGGAAAGCCATGTTCACTGCCAGCTCCGGAAAGGGAGGGCCTTATTTGTTTTTGTATTCTTGGGGCCCTGCAGAGTAACAGGTGCTCAAGAAGCATTTATCGAAAAAAAAAACCAAAGAAATGAAAACACTTTAACTAGGGAAACAGCATTTAAACAGGATACGGAGATATGACAAGTGAAACAAAACCTCTCTCAAGGCCAGCTGTGCCACGATGAGAGCCATTTTGACCTTTAACTAGGAGACCAGGAAGTACCCCATCCTTCTGACTGACGCAAAGACAGGTTTGTAATGAGCACATGTGGCATGATTTGAGTTGGTCAGATGTAGCAAGATATGTGTGCCAGCTAACCAAAGCAGGCCTATCTGGAGCCAGTGGGGAGGATCTAAGTGACATCTGCCAGGCGGGGACTTCGCGCGGCAGGGAAGTCTGGCAGACGGAGACCCAGCCAGGGGCTGTCTGGATGCCACCCATCAGAGAGGGGCTTTCTCTGCTGCACCCTGCAGTCTTGCAGCTCCAAAGATTTGAAGCATTTTAGAGTGAGGGAGGAGTCTAGGGGCCATCTGGTCGGCCCCTCATTTTACAGAGGAAGACACTGAAGCCAGAGAGGTTGAGTGACTTACCTCCACCCTGGCTCTCAGGCCTCCTGGTTCTACATCTGGGCCCCTTAGAAGCACATCTAATAGGAAGAAAGGAGGGGGAGAGGAGAGCAGAAGAGGAGGGCTGGAGGGATGAAAGGAGAGAAGGAGGAGACTATGCCGGGGCCATCTGGTTGGAACTAAAAGGGCAAGCAGGGGAGGGGTAGACTAGGAAACATTGCTTGTAACATGCTCCTATCCCTATTTAGGCAACATGGTGAAAGGCAGTAAGAGAGAACCCAATATTTGTCTCTCAGAGGAAGGCTTATCTCTGGGAGGAGAGTGCCCACCTCATAGATCCTGGGTGCCACTGGCTGCAGATGGGACCATACATCCTCCTTCTTAAGGCTATTCCATCCTTAACCAGTAGGTAGGAGCTGGGATCTGGGACCCACCAGTCAAGTTTGTCTGAGTCCTCACACTTGCATTATCTCCCATACCTCTCATCTCCTTCCTTCTAGTAGAACTGAGTTTTAGCTGGCGCATGGCTGTCTGGAATAAAGACTACATTTCCCAACTCCTCGTAACTGAGTTGCCTCTGTGACTAAGTTCTGATCAACGGTATGTGAGCAAGGGATCAGGTGCGGCCTCAGAAAGTCAGCAGTGGTTCTCTATCTGGAGAGATGGTGCCCTCAGGGGACATTTGGCAATGTCTGGGGACATTTTTGTTTGTCACACCTGGGAAGGAGGAAGTCAACACTGGCATCTAGTGCGTAGAGACCAAGGATGCTGCTTAACATCCTACAATGCACAGGAGAGCCCCTACAGTAATGAATTATCTGACCCCAAATGCCAGTGGCACCAAGACTGAGAAATCCTATCTCAAAAGGAGACAGCATGCTCATCTCACTCCTTCCTCTACTACTGACTGGAATGTAGACATGAAGCCTGGAGTCTGAACTGCCATCTTTGATCATGAGGTAGAAGCCACATGTTGAGGATGATGAAGCAGGAAGAGAAAAGGAGTCTGGATCCCTGATGATCCCCAAACTGCCATATCAGCTAAGGACAACTCTCTTCCAGATTTCTCTACCTACAAGTTAATAAAGTTCTAGTTCACTTAAGCCTCTGTTGCTTTGGTTTCCTGTCATTTACAGCTGAAGTTAATTAATATACTTTCCCCTCTTGCTCCTTTTTCATTCCTATCAACGATGGGAGCCTCTGTTCACCTAGCCCTTGTTCCTGGTCTCTCCTCCCTTTGTATTCCTTTGTTGCCCCCAGATTTACCTGACAGCTATATTCATTCATTCTCAGTTTGATTTACTTTGAATTCTGACATCTGCTCCAAGATCCATCTTGTTGCAGCTCTGAGACTATCAGGTTCTGCTCCTTCCAGATTCCCAGTCAATCAGGCTCTAATCAGTCCTATGAATCAGCCATAACATTTAGATTCTAAACATTTCTTTGTAACCCACTTTGCAACATGGAGCCACATTCTCCCAGACTAGGCACTATCTGTAATGACCAGCATACAATGGGTGCCAGTTCAGCTGAGTGGAAGCTTGACCAAAGGAATAGACCCCGACCCTTACTCCATACAGGCACTACCAACTGGGTATCAGCCTGGTCATATTGTACCTGAAGAATTCATCCATCCATCCATCTATCCATCCATGCATCCATTTATTCAACACCTGCATGAGTCATGTTCAAGGCTCTCGCATGGAATCTGTTATGACAATCCCCTGGAGGTGTTTCTATTTATCATTATTATTTACCCACAGGCTTAAAAATGACATACCCTTGGCTACCAAGTAGGATCACCCAGAAAAACAGAGGGGAATAGCTACACCTCTCTTTATCCCTTTGTGGCTCCCCTTTGCTAGCATTGAAGAACTTGGTATTCATTAGCCCTTTCCTTTCTGGGAATTTAAAGTCTGCTACTGAAGAGCTGAGAAAAAAGTCATGGTGACCCCACCACTATAAAAATGAATTCAGTTTTACAGTCACAGAGTCAGGGATCCAAAAGTAAATCATTTGTATTCAAGAGCAAATATTCCAGAACAAGGAGGAAAATTCAGCCAGCATACTTGCTATTGCTTGAGATTGTCCATCTGACATCTTGAGAATATAATAAAATGCATAGAACAAATTATTTCAAGGGGAAAGTGGGCAAGGACCAAAGAAAAGTAAAACAAGGAACATCCCTGTGCACCTCTGGAGCCTTCAGATGAACTGGGATAAATTATGAATCTAGTCCCAAATTTCTGAGTCATGACTGTAAATCTGATGTGAGGGTGGAAACTTCCAGCTCAGCCAAAATAATTTAGTGTGAGAAGAACAAAGGTAAATCATTTTAACTGTCTTCCTTTTCAGAGTATTTGATGGTTGAAGTAGAAGAGCAAGAATATGGCTGTCATATTAAAAAGGGGCAAGAAGTAATGTTCTGGATGCTATGGAAGCCAACTTCTGTGATGGACGCCAATATTCCCACCTCCAGGTATTCACACCACTGTGTAGTCTCCTCCCACATTGTATTAGAGTTGGTCCATGCGACCAGTAGAATACAGTGGAAGTGATGGTATGTGATCTCTGAGGCTAGGTCATAAAAAAATATGTGGCTTACACCTTTCTCTCTCTCACTCTTAGATTATTCACTCTGGGGGATGTAGCCCCGTGGAGGGGTCTGTGGCAAAGAACTGAGGCCTCCTGCCAACTGCCACAGGAGTGCGTCATCTTGGAAGCAGATTCTCTAGCCCCAGTCAAACCTTCAGGTAACTACAACCCCAAACAACCTCATGAGAGACCCTGAGTGTAAACCATTTGGCATATGCTCCCTGACCCATAGAAATTGTGAGGTAATAACTTTTTATTGTTTTAAACTGCTAAGGTCTAGGGTAATACATTGTTGGTGGTGGTGGTTTTTTTTTTTTTTTTAATTTTAGAGAGAGAGCCTGAGAGGAGGAGAGGGGCAGAGAGAATCTCAAGCAGGCTCCATGCTTAGCATGGAGCATGACATGGGGCTTGTTCCCATGACCCTGATATCATGACCTGAACCAAAACCAAGAGTCAGACACTCAACTGACTGAGCTACCCAGGAGCCCCAATAGACAATTATTATATCCTTTAATGTCATGTCAATGTGTTAGAAGTTCAGTTAATTCCCATGACAATCTTGTGAAATAGAAATTATTTTCTCCATCTTTGAAGTGTGAAAATTCAGAGAGGTAATTTCCTAGGGTTATATAACTGCCTCCAAAGCCCACTAAGCCACACTGCCTCACTTAGCCAAGCCTCTCAGGCTTTCTCCCTCCTCCCACCGACTTGCAGAGATGAGCCAGGCTGTCCTACAGACAGGGTTTAATCATGGTATTATATGATCATAGGGTGGAGGTGGATGAAGATTTGAAAAGTACCTCTGCCTACAAAAATGTTATTCTTTCACACTTGGTGGAGACAAGGTGAAGCAAATGGCATTCTAAAGCAATGACAAATAAATGAAATAACTAAAAAATGGACAATATGGGGTGCCTGGGCAGGTCAGTCAATTGAGCATCCAGCTCTTGATTTTGGCTCAGGTCACGATCCCAGGGTCATGGGATAGATCCTCGAGTTAGGATCTGTGCTGAGCATGGAGCCTTCTTGAGATTCTCTCTCCCCCACTCTGCCCCTCTCCTGCTCGGGTGCTCTCTCTCTCTCAAAATAAATAAGTAATTAAGTAAATAAATAAGTAAGTAAGTAAATAAATAAATAAATAAATAAATAAATAAATAAATAAATAATGTTTCTAATTAGAATCAGTACTCTGATGCCAAATAACAAGACTCCCATTGAGACAAAGGGTTGTTGGGGTCACTTGGGGGTCTATGACAGACATGCCATGGGGAAAGAGCCGAGACCCTAAAAGCTTGGACACCTCTGCCTGGAAGATTTCCTTCTCACTCATAAGCCTTGTCCCTCAGTCTGACTCAGGAGAAAGGCAGCCTGGAATGATTCTTCTGCCAATCCTGGAATGGACTCAACCCAGGTTCTGTTGGACGTCATTAACAACATACCTTTCCTTCCCCAATTCCCCACACAGTGGGAAGTAAAAGGGCATAATTTCCTCTGAGCTGATGTTTCGGGCCAATAAGTCAGATTGGTCCTGAGCTTTCTGATGTAGTTTTGAGATCTCCTTGAGAATTTAAATTAATGCTGATAACAGAAGCCCAAGTGGACTAATGAGAGTCTGAATACCTAAATCCCAAACCCAGTGCTTTTCAAACGTTAATGCAAATGAATCACCTGGCGGATCTTATTAAAATGCAGATTATGGTTTCACCCACCCCAGCTCATCCTCTCCTTGCCCCACAAACTACCCCCACACATACCCCAAGCCACATATTGCATCCTGTGAGCCTTCTTTGCCCCCTTGGAAAAACACCACACTCCACCTGCCCTGAAGAAAAAAAAAATGCAGATTCTGATTCAGCAGGTCTGGGGAAGGTCTGAGACCTTGCATTTCTGTCCATCTTACAGGCTCTGCTGATGCTCCTGGGCCATGGTCATCACTGTAGTAGGAATGGGCAGAAAGCATTTGTTCTCATACTTGGCTGCATATGAAAATCACCTGAGGAGCTGAAAACAAAACAAAACAAAACAAAACAAAACAAAACAAAACACAACTAGTGCAGAGCCCCACATTTAGCCATGCTCAATGCGTAAAAGAACAAATGTGCTATCTGCAGGCGCAAAGCCTGACCAAACCCAGACTAGGGTCAGGCTTGGCCTTTGTCCAGCCATCTCGACAGCAGATGGTGACTGCCACCTGCAGGATGGTCCTACATCCTTCCTGAGCTCTGCTATGCTTAGAAACCTGCTCAGCAACCCAGCCAACCCAGCCACAAGGTCCAGAGCTGGCGCTGCCTTCCTCAGAACATGAAGACCTGCTTCTACCCCACTTTCCCTTTGTGAATAGACCCCCCTCCCCCGAACACCAGCCTACTGGTCTGAGATTTTCAACCAGCTCTTCCCAAGCCCTTCCCTTTGAGGGCTCGATCATGTTCCATTTATCCTCAGCTGTGATTCTCGTCCTCTTGAGAATGGGCTGATGGCACAGAACCACGGAACTGACCCACACTTGACTTTGTCACTGGCACCCTGAACCCCAGTGACCTATTCTACCAGCACCAAGGCCAAATTAGCTTCAACCAAGGCCAAGTTAGCTCGACCCTTTTTCACACCATGCATTGGACTGCTCAGCCTCTACCATTTTCCCAGACTGTCTGGTCTTCTTTGTCACATCCCCCAGGCTGTATGCTAATCCCTGCCAGTATCCCTGAGCACAAATTGGCCGTAGGTTAGAGAATGTTTTCATATGTGGCCTTCCTCCCTAATTCCCTCTCTCTGGATGAAATCTCTCTCCCCTGAAGTCCCGTTCCACCTGTACCTCACCTGGAGACCTCTTGAGCCAGCATCACAGTTGGTTGTGTGTATCTGTGTTCATTTCGATTAGGCTTATAAACCAGGCACGTGTCTTTTTTCTTTAGATCTCATGTAGACCCTCAATCATCACTTGCTGAAGAGATGAAGAAGCATAGGAAAACACCAAGTATGCATTTAATGAAATGTAATGGTCTCTTTGACCCTTGCCCCACACCCCCATTCAGCCTGCATGCCACCTCCTAAATCATTTTCTAAAGCCCAGTCATTCTAAAGCACACACCAAAAGAACCTAGTAGCTCCCCATTGCCTGTTGCATTACATCCACATTCCTCATCCTGAACCAGGCCTGCCCAGGCTGCTTTGTCACACTTGGCCTCAATCCTACCTGTCCAACCTAATCTCCCAACACATTTAACTCCTCACCCCCCACGGTACTTCTGTAAGGGCCTATTCGTCCCTCTTTTCTGTCCTAATGTCTGTATTTCTTCATCTTAGAAAATTTTATTTTCTTTTCCTTATTTCCATTTTGCCACCTATGTAGTTTGGTTATTGGTCTAGCTAATACTTCCATGCTAAGATTTTTTAGGATGAAAAGGGCCATCATTTAAATGTTGAGGGATTTTGTCTGGCAAAAAGTTTTCATTTTGGAAAACCATGCAGTTGCACAAGTAGAAATAAGAATCCACTCAAGGTTCTTTGAGACAGAACTGAGGAAATCATGAAGCTGAAGGTAAATGTTTCCGGCTTTCAGACTGAGAAGCTGGGTGTTCTGTTTGGTAACAGACATGATGTCTACAGTCCAGTGGGAGCTGGGTCGTGGGTTGTGACAAATTTAGCTGATGCTGTATCTGAACTCTGGTTTGTTCCTTTAGGATGTGGCTTTTTTTTTTTCTTAATTGAGAGTTTCTTGCTAATAATAACAGCAAACACTTGTTACACACTTACCATGTGCCAGGCCTGAGATAAACCCTTGCAAGGATCAATTTCTGCAATCCTCAAAACAACTTTGGGATTTTTTCAGATGAGAAAAGAAAGGCTCTGGGAAGTTGAGGATTATGTCTTTCAAATCAGAGTCAGAGCCAGGATGTGAACACCAGGAGTGTGACTTTACAGTCTGTGCTCCAAACCTCAGCATCTTTACATTTTAAAAAAATCTCGGGGCGCCTGGGTGGCGCAGTCGGTTGGGCGTCCGACTTCAGCCAGGTCACGATCTCGTGGTCCATGGGTTCGAGCCCCGCGTCGGGCTCTGGGCTGATGGCTCAGAGCCTGGAGCCTGTTTCCGATTCTGTGTCTCCCTCTCTCTCTGCCCCTCGCCCGTTCATGCTCTGTCTCTCTCTGTCCCAAAAATAAATAAACGTTGAAAAAAAAAATAAAAAAAAAATCTCATCCTTCTAAAACTTCTAATTGGGGTATGCTTATAATTAATATAGTAGTACATATTTATTACTTGGGAGTGCAAACTCAAAAACCTTACATTGGCAGGGGTGCCCATCACACTTTGCCATTTGTTTTCATATGCTGTACTGCATTATTTGCATATTGCTTCATTTTCATTGGTCACATTTCTCCCAAGGAATTGGAAGTCTCCTTGGATTGTGTCTTAAACTTCCACTCTGTCTCCCACAGTAGACCCAGGTATATCCTCCCTAAACACTCCGTGAACTGAGTTAAATCCATACTCCAATGACCTTCTCCCTCTGAAGCAAAGCAAAGCTAGTGAAAATACACAACACTATAGATTTCTAGGCCTTCTGGGGGAGGCTGGAGCTACTAGTAAGCACTGCAAATAGAATAACATAGTAACTTAAAAATAATTCTGCTGTACAAACATGAAAAGTGTTATTGCAGTCTCCCAGGGATGTATAATGGATTTGAACTTTAAAACACCAAAATGAAGTTTTATTTAATTTAGGGCTTTGCTGTTCAGGAAACTAGAATTGGACGTGATCAGCCTGAGTGGAGGTGGTTACAGTTCGTGCTTTGGCTCCCTCTGTCGGCAGGAAGGAAGAGGTAATTTTTTTTTTTTTTTACTTGGAGTAATTCTTGGCTCGGGTTTTATAATGGCTGCTGTTTACTGTATGTACTGTCTGAAAAAATTCATCTTTTAAAGTTAGGAAAGGCTTAAGACCTTAAAACCTACTGAATCTTTCTTCTCAGATGGAAACTAAATACACATTTTCATTCCCTTTACGTGCTAACATTACTATCTCTGAAGCTAGATTCACTATAAAGCGCTTATTAATTGTCATAGAACACACACAGAGCTTGTTCCACTGTGGCTTTCCCAGTCTTCTAACTGTAGGGGGTAAAAAGTACAACCTCGATTGCTAGCAGAGTTTGTTACAAGCCTCATTTTCCCACACTGTCTGCTAACCCTGTATCTTGGGAGTGTTTTCCATGACGGGAGAAGGAGCTTTGATCTTAACTAGTAAAAGGAATCAAATATCCAAAATTCTTTGTTTGACTCATCAAGTGGAATAAGGAACACACACATCATCCTCTAGCACGCTGTCTCTTTCCCAATGTCCCCTACGCAGAACTTTTATATATGAGTCTGAATTGTTACTTATGTCAGTGACTCATCATTTGAGAGTTGGCACCAACACCTCCAGACAAAATTCCTCTGCAAAGTGTTTCCACAGGGGCACTGAACACCTGTCTCTTCCTCTGTTCCTCCATGTTCAACTCCAAGAACCAGTGAAGACAGATGCCACAAGTGCCTGGTACATTGCAGAGTTCAGTAAAGATTTATGTAAATATGATTTAAAGTCATATTCTATTTTACAGGCTAATTTTGCACATGTAAGAATTCCTCGATGCTTGCAAAGACATATTTTATTTCATTAATCTTTATTAAAGAGGGCATAACAATGTTATACATAAAATGCTTGTTGTCAAGGAATGTTGCTTATATTATGGTGGAATGAAACAGGCCTGACAGCAATCAGGGTCCTGCCACTTACTGTTTGGAGAGACAGGCAACCATGGGCCCTCAGAATCCTTGCACACTAAGGATCCTTGCACTAAGATGCAAAAGCCTGCTCACCTGGGCCATTTCTCAGGGTTGTGCTTACAGTGAGCAAACTTGAGGGTGTCTCCCCATAGGACAAAGAGCAGTCTTGCTTACTGCTTGCTATAAAATGGTGGGTTCCCCAAGTTTAGCATTTCTCTCCTGTAATGAAATCCATTTTGTGTGCAAGCATCCATCTGGGCCCATCTGCTTCATTCCTGTGAGAATTGGGGTTCGGAACCCAACACAAACATGTTGACACTGCGGCTACTGCTTTTGCTGTAACAGTCTTTCATTTATGACCCAGTACTCTCGTGTGCTCTGTCAGCATCCATGAAGCTGTGACAAGCTAATGTGTTAGCCTGCAAGGAGGGCAAAATCTCAGATTCTTCACAGTTCTTCATGCTTACTAGCTGGGTGTCCCTACACAATTAATTTAACCTCTCTTAGTTGCAGTGTCCCTTCTTTCTGAAGGGGACAATAGTAGCTGCCTCATAGCACCGTTGAGGAGTTAAATAAGAATGGAAAGATCCCTACCAGACTACATTCTTCCTGGGAGCTCCCTTTCCCTCTTTAGAACATTGAGAGACTACTCTGCTTTGATGCCTGATGATGCTAGGCAGGGACGAATGGCGTGAGGCATGGCGTGAGCTGTGGCTGCTGGTGGTTTGGTGCAATGGTGGGCCGAGGACCGACCTGAAGAGCGCGCACAGCGGCAGAGCCGAAATTTCTACGTGGGCGGGGCGCGGAAAGCCGAAAACTGATTGAAGAGGGAGGCCCTGGGGTTTTGTCTGCAGCGGTTGCATAGCAACCACGCCGTATTTACTTAGACTATTTCAAGTGGCTTAGGGGTCGCGCTGTTGGGGACTACTGGGGCACTGAGGCCCCCTCCCCCATCACCCACCTGATTCGTGGCGACCACGCCATTCCGAGGAGCCACTGGCTTGGCCGCCTCCCGCCGGGAACCCCGCGGCAGCGCTCGGGCGCGCGCCCTCCAGCCGCACGCACCCGCACACGCATGCTCCCGGCGCTCCCACGCGCGCAGCCACCCTCACGGCTGCCGCCCACGCAACCGCGTGGTCTTGGGGCGCGGACTGGGGGCGGCCGCGCGGCGCCCGCGGACACAGCTCCCCGCCCTCGGACAAGCTCTCAGAGGATGCCAGGCGCGGGGCGCGTCGCCCCCCTCAGTCCACCAGAGCCCGGATACCTCAGAAATTCGGCTCTGGGTCTGTGGGGAGCGAAATGCAACCCAAACCCCGTTTTACCGAACCCTGCGCAAATAAAACACGCACAAGCACGCACACAGACGTCGCCGCGGCCCGCCAGGGAAGAGCCAGGGACCCGGGAGGGGCCGCCGCTCGAGATCGGCGGCTAAAAGGTGCGACGTAAGTGCCCGGCGTTACCGGCCCGGCTTAACGGCGCAACGGCCGGCCTGGTTCCGTGTCGCCGGGGCCAGGGCGGGGCGGGAGCGGCCGCCGGAGAGACCCGGTAGGCGGGGGCGCTCGGGGCAGGAAGGGACCGGGGAGGAGGAGCGAGGGTGTGATTTGTCCTGAGCGGCCAGATACGGCGGCGCCCCGGGTAGGCCCAGGACCCGGCTCTGGCAGCCCTCGGACCGACCGGCTGGGGCCCGGCGGAGTCGCAGGGCTCGGCGACCTCGTGTGAGGCGGCCGCTGGGGAAGGACGGGCGCCTTCGGCTCACGTTTGGTGGTCGCTACCCAGGCTAGCAATACCGTGGTCTCGGCAAGACAGACGGATGGCTGGGGGGACGGCTCAGGGGGCGGTGGGAAGGGCGCGGGGCCGTCGCCTCTGGCTTAACACAGCAGATGCGCGAAGGCTCCAACAGGTGGCTCCGTGGCGCAATGGATAGCGCATTGGACTTCTAGAGGCTGAAGGCATTCAAAGGTTCCGGGTTCGAGTCCCGGCGGAGTCGCAGTTTTTCCCGATTTCCCCCCCGAAATTATTTTCTGACCCCATCGTTTCTCTCCCCGTTATTTTTTTTCCTAAACGGTTGAACTTGCCTCTCCATCTCTGCCCTTTCTCCTTCTGCATTGGGCTTCTGCGGCCGTTCCACCTCTAGCCGCTCGCGCCAGTGCGCTCGCCCCCCGCCCCGCTTCCTCAGCTCTGTGGCTCAGGATCTGGGACCAGCTGACAGCGGAGCCTGATCCAGGACCTGGGAGGAACGGCTCCGGCCGGTGGCCCAAGTGAGGCCTCGCCATTTCGGCCCAAAGTTGGCCCGGGTCTCGGCTGTTCCGGAGGAGTGTCCCCCACGCTCCTGTGCTGACAACCCCTAGCTCGGAGCGCGGCGGTGAGCGCTAGGGAGGGCGCGGGAAGGATGAGAAAATGGGCCTACACCGTGACCTGCGCTGTGCAGGCTGACTGCCCTTCCAGTCCCGGAGGCTTCAAAATTGTCACGTACCGGAATCCCCAGTAGGATCCTGTCAGAAATGCAGATTCCTAGGCGTCATTGAGGGCCTCGAATGGAGTCGATTGGGGATGGGGCCCAGGAATCTGCGTTTCTGGTAAGAACGCCCGCTCCTCAATCCCAGGATTCCAGTGCTAGGAACCGAGTCCCAGGTCCGTTCTGCCTGTCAGCTCCTCCAGGCAGGGATTGCTATCTTGCATCTCTTCCGACAACTCATAGGTTTGCATATGATTAGGGTTCCACCTCACTAAATGCAAGTACATCAATGAATGGGCTTTTCAAAATTCACTGTAACAAATTTGATGCAAAAAATTAAAAATCCAAAATTGTCAAAAAACATAGAGAAAAGTAAGCGTTGTTGTTCCTATACCTTAGCCTTTCAATTCTCTTTATAACCATTAGTGAAAATGGTTTCTTGGAAATATTTTCAAATGTATTTTATGCACGTGTCAATTTTTATATCTGTTGTCTCTGTTGATGTTGATATACAATTGGTAGTATGCTACACTTGCTCTTTCACTTATTAATATAGGTAGACCTGCCTTGTTCCTTTGTACGTATGTACTGTAATGATTTAACAGTCTTCAATAGTTGGAAATTCAGGTGTAAATATTTTCCTGTTACAATGCTTCAGTGAACATGCTTGTTCTTACATTGTTGTAGACAAGTGCAAGTATATCTATAGGATAGATTCCTAGGAAGTTGGATTGTTGGGTCAAGGGTTTGTTTGTTCATTCTTTGATAGATATTGCCAAATTGCTCTCCTAGAGATTGTACCCACTTTACTCTCACAGACCCATGTGTTATCAAACAGGTGAAAAATGGTTTCTAGTTGTAGTGTCAATTCATGTCTTTTATTACGAGGGAAAGCTGAGCGTTTTTTCATATGGGGAATGATTTGTATTTTTTGTTATTTATCTGTTCTTAGGTTTTGTTCATTTTTCTGTTGCATAGTTGGTCATTTTCGTATTGGTTTGTAGTTCTTTACATATTCTGGAAACCAGTCCTTTGTTTATATGTGTTACAATTATTCTTTCTCAATTGATTGGTCTTTTGATTTCCTATATAGTATTTTATTTTATTGCCTTACAGAAATTCATATATGTGGATTTATCAGTCTTTTCTTTTATGGCTTCTAGGTTTGGGGTTATACTGCACTCAGATTCTTAAATAATTTCATCATGTTTTATTTTAGTACTTTATCTGGTTTTATTTTTATACTTAAATTTTAATTTCATCCAGAATATACTTTTGTATCAAGGGTAAGGTGGGAATTTGGTCCCAGAATCACTGGTAATGAACACCCTAAGTCTTCTTTTCTATACTCATTTATTTGAAATGCCTATTTTATCATTTTCTAAATTTCCACTTGCATTGGGGTGCTTGGATTCTCTATTCTGTTCCATTGATCTGTCTTCATTCTGATTCACCAGAACTGTGCTGTTTTTATGTCTAATGGGGCCAATCCTTTCTCATAACATTTTTTGAAAATTTTTTCCTCAGCTATTCTTGAATTGTTTTTCCCACATAATGTTAATAACTAGCACCTGTTTAGCATTTATTATATACCAGGTACTATTCTAAGTGCTTTATGCATTTTAAGGCATTTAATCCTCCTGACAACTCTACCAGGTAGATATTATCCCCTTTCATGGAAGGGGCATCTGAAACAGAGAGGTTAAGTAACTTGACCAGGAATACACAGCTAATAATAAGCAGTATGCCAGGATGGGAACCCAAGAAGCCTGGGTCTTTGGGTAAAACCATAATTCTGTGTTGCCTTTTCACATGAGCTTTAGTTACAGCTAGTCTGGTTCTAATCTTAGGAGATATTTGTATTGGAGTAATGTTATATATAGATTAATATAGGGAGAATTGAACTGATTATGTTGAATCTTACTATTTAAGAGCAGAAAGGAGGGAAAAAAAGAACACCTATGCCTTTCCATTTGTTCAGTCGCTTTTCAGGAGTATGTAAAAGTTTTCTGTTATAGAACTTGAATTATTTGTTAACTTTATTCCTACTTTATCCTTTTTGTTGGAGTCTTTTATTCCATTATGTTTTCTATGTGATTATTGTTTGTATATAAGAAGGCTTTCGATATTTTAAATAATAAATTTATATGTAGCCATCTTAATTGAACTGTTTTACTATTTAAAATGGCTTTTCAGTTCCAAACCATGGGATACCACTTCACATCCACTAGGATGGCTGGAATAAAAAAGACAGACAATAACACACATTGGCAAGGATGTGGAGAAGTGGGGATGTAAAATGGTGGTATCTTTTTGGAAAAAAGTTTGGCAGTTAGTCAAAAATTTGTACAGAGTTACTATAGAACCTAGCAGTCTCACTCCTAGAGAAGTGAAACCTGTGTTAACACAAAAATTTGTACGATTGTTCATAGCAGCATTATGCTTAATAGACAAAAAGTAGAAACAACCCAAATGTCCATCAAGTGATGAGTGGATAAACAAAATATGGTGTATCCATACAGTGGAATATTATTATCCAGCAATAAAAAGGAATGAAATAGTGATTCATGTTGCAACATGGATAAATCTTGAAAACATTCTGCCAAGTAAAAGAAACTAGTCATATAAGACCACATATTATATGATTCTACTTAAATAAAATATTCGAAATAGGCAAATCTATTGAGACAGGAAGTAAATTAGTTATTGCTAAGTGCTGGGGATAAGGGGAATATGAAGTGACTGCTAATGGGTATTTAATGGGATTTTTTGGGAGTGATAAAAATGTTTTGGAATGAGTGATGACAATTGCTCAACTCTGAATATACAAAATCCCAGCAAGCTACACATTTTAAAGGGGTGAACGTTATGGTATGTGAATTATATCTCACTTTTTTAAAAGGAAAAGTTTTTTCAGTTAACTACATTGTGGTTTTTGGAAATCTATCACCCACAAATAATTATAGTATTATCTTTGTTTTTTATGCCTCATTATTATTTCTCTTGTAATAGCATCTGCTAGTATCTCTAGAAAATGTTCATTTTTGTGATAATGGTGACAGTAGACTGAGTCGTCCTGTTTCCGATCATTATAGGAATGCTTCTCCACTAAGCATGATGCTAGCTTTTGGGGTTGGCGTGCACACACACACAGACACACACACACTTTATCACATTAAGAAACTATACCTAGTTGTCAGTAATCTGTGGAAATTTTTCTCCTTTGATCTATAATATTGTGCAGTATATTGAGAGATTTTCTAATATTCAACCCTTCTTGCATTACTGAAGTGAATCCTACTTGGTTGTGATGTATATTTATTTTGGTATTCTAGTATTTTGCAGTTTTTGCATATTTAGAAAGATTGACATTTGTTCATATACCATAAATGCAGCATTATTTAGAATGGCCCCAAACTGGAAATAACCTAGATGTCTATCAATAGTGAAGTGTTTGAAAACAAACAGAAACAGTCTCCTAAATACACAGAAGGAACTGGTGGTTGTTGGGGGTGGGAGGATGGGCGATAAATAGGTAAAGGACGTTAAGAGGTACCAACGTCAGCTATAAAATAAGTCACAGGGATGAAAAGTACAGCACAAGGAATATAGTCAATATTATATTAACTTTGTATGGTGACAGATGGTAACTACACCTATTATGGTGAGTATTGCTTAATATATGGAATTGTCAAATCACCATATTGTACACCTGAAACTGATCTATGCCAACTATACTTCAATTAAAAAATTAAAAAAACAATTGAATTGTTTGAAGAAAGTATAGTAGAGCCATATAATTGAATACAATGCAGACCTTTACAAAATGAGGAAGATTTATGTATACTATGGAAAAATATCCAAGATTATATGAAGAAAGCCAATATGAAAATGAGCATGTTTAATATGATTCTCTTGGGCTAAATAATGCTAATAATAATAGTAATAATGTGTATTACTATGGTTGTATGTGCGTAGAAAATTTCTGGAATCATATGCAGTTAACAATGCTGGAGCAGGAAGAACAGTGATATGGGGGGGGTGGGCCTTCTTTTTTTATATCTCATTGTAATGTTTGAATTTTTTCATTGAAGTCTATCTTATCCTTGTAATAAAAAAGTTAAGTTTTGAAAGGGTAAAGCAAAAGAAAAAAAACAACAAAAACAAAACCTAATGTTAATGATGAAGGGGAAAAAAACATTTTGTCTGTTCCCTAGATCACTTTCATATGGGCAGCCTTGTGATACTACTTACCATTAAAGATTTTCTGAACTTCATCCAACATTTATTGACTACTTACATTTTACTATATGCTGGATCTCAGGTATAAGTACACTGTTTAGAAGCTCCTCCTGTTAAGAGTGGAGAAACATGTAAACAAAGTATCTCTTTACAGTGATTCCAGCAGGCACTGTGTCCTGGAGGTCTTCTACAAACATGTTAAGGACTGTGGACTTGACAGAAAAGGTAGTGAGTGGGAAACCACTGAACAGCTTTTTAGGTAGGAAGCAGTGTGACTATTCAATATGTGCTTTCTGTCCCCACTCTGGCTATAGTGTGGATACCTGGCTAGACCAACAGTGCAGGACTGGAAGCTGGAAGACCAGTTCAAGGCACTTTGAGTTGTTTAGGTACGAAAGTGATGGAGGCTGGGGCACCTGGGTGAGTCAGTCGGTTGAGCATCCGACTTCGGCTCAGGTCATGATCTCGTGGTCTGTGAGTTCAAGCCCTGTGTCGGGCTCTGTGCTGACAGCTCAGAGCCTGGAACCTGCTTTGGATTCTGTGTCTCCCTCTCTCTGCCCCTCCCCCACTCATGCTCGCTCTCTCTCTCTCTCTCTCTCTCTCTGTCAAAAATAAATAAACTTTAAAAAAAAATGATGGAGGCTGGAACTAGGGGTGGTGTGGGGAGAAACCCAGAACACAGACATTTGATGAATAGGCAAAGAATGAGGTTTTCAAAGAGTCCAAGAAAGGGTAGCCAGAGAAGTAGGAAGAAAACTAGAAGGAAGTATTCTCTCCAAGAATTGATGGAGCAAGGTGCCTCTAGAGAAGGGAGTCAAGAGGAAAAGGGAAACGTCTAACAGTTTTCCAAACAACTGCTTATGCCAACCAGTTTAGCCCTCACCATTTAATTACTCCCCAGGTCCTAGCAAGTAATGATTATCCCCGTTTTACAGATGAGAAAATTAAGATGCAAAGATCTTAATTCTTAAATTTGCATCTTAAATTAAGACGCAAAGATCATCAGGAATAAGATGAAAAGAGTAGCCTAGAGATGATGGGAAAATATCTGCTCTTCTAAGGCAGGTAGGAAGAGAGGGGGATACAAGCATGAAGGTCAAGGGAAAACCAAAGGTGTTCATTTTTAAAGACCTATTTTCTTTGTGCTCTTTTCCAGCTCTGCCCCACACACCCAGGACTCCAGGAAGGTATTGAGAAAGAAGGAGTTGCCTGAAGGGGTGGAGACACTCTCATCTTACTGCTGCCTGTGGTCCATAAAGACCTGAAAGACCAGAGGCCGGGAGTGGTTTCATTCAGCTTCCTCCTAATCTGGGGCTTTCTCCATCTTAATATAAAATATTAAGAAATATTTTATAATCTCATTCATCCTCAATTTGATTTATATTTTTGAGTACTAGCATAAGGAACCACGTAGGAAAGACATACAAAGGTGAGTGAGATAGAGTGCATTTTCTTAAGAGTTCACCCTAGTGTGGGGCAGGGAGCCATGGATCGATAGTCCCATTAATTAGGATTGGCTTTGGCTGTGAGTGGCAGGAAACTCAAACAATGCATTTAACAAGATAGAGGTGTCTTCCTCAGGTGAAAGATCAGGCAGTGGCAACTACTGGATCAAGAGACACCCAGGCTCCTTTTTATTCTTTCACCTTAAAATGCAGCCTCCTCCTGATGTTCCGAGAAGATTGCTCCTCTCCTACCATCAGGTCAACATACTAGTTAGTGGGGAGAAAATAAAGGGACAGAGTCCCACTCCAAGCTCACTCATCTCAGGGACACTTCCCAGAAGTTGCACATACTGTTTTCACTCACATCCCATAGAAAGGCGAGGATCATAGCTTTTTTTCTCTTTTTCCAGGTAGCCACATTCTCAGCTACAAATTATGTGTTCCGTACCTAGTAAGGAAAGGAAGAAAGCTCAGCAGATTTTGTTGGTGATGTGGAAACAGGTATACAGATAGTTATAGTGCAAGGCTAAAATAAAAGTGTGACAAGAGTTACACTTACTAGCTCTGTGACCTTAGGCAAGTTACTTCTTAAGCTGTCTGTACCTGTTTCTTAACTTACATAATGACGATAATAGTAACATCTACTTCGTAGGTTTACCTGAGGTTACCTAAATTATTATATATGTTTTGTATGTACACACATATACAGTTACCTAAAAATTTAACTCCCCTCTATATCAAGGCAGCTGAGATGAACTTTTGCGAAGCTCAAGTCGGAAGTAGTGGCAGATTTGGCTGGAAGGGCAGACGTTAGACAATTAGCCAAGGTTTTGATGAGCTTCACATTCTGGAATTAAGCTAGGACTTGTTCTTCTCAATGTTCATTGCTATTTTGGCAACGTGTATGTGTATAAATCTGAGTACATACACACACACATACATACATACATACAAGGGAAAAAATAACTCTTGCTGATAATACGCTAACATTAATATCTAGAAAGTCTAACCACAATGTGTGTCTTTTTTGTGTTTACTTTAGTATGTTACTCTATGGAGGGTGGAGGAGTAGGTGTAGGAGAGAATGAGACTGAACAAAACTTCATACATTTTTTTTCACATGGGTGACTACAAGCACATATTTCTTTCCTATCATTTAAAAAGGTCGAGGAAAACACCTTCTCATCATTTGTAATATTCTTCACTGCATATGGTAACTAAAATTCTCATGGTAACTGGAACCAAATCTAACCATAGTTTTCATATCCATATTTCACTTTTTCTCCCCTTAATGAACAAGACGTCAGAATTTCAGTATGTTGCATGGGGTCTGAGGTCAGATTTGGTGCCTGAGCCCTACCAGTCCCTCCTTTGTAATCCTGGTTGTAACCATAAGAAAAGCCCATGGGAGGGAAAGTACCACTCATCGCACAGCTGGGGACACTGAAGGACTTCTCAGCTAAGTTGTGAGGGAATAATTTATATTCCCATCATCCCCTACTTTTAGTAGAGAAAGTGAGGCTCAGAATAGCCCCAACTCCAGTTTCCCATCTTCCCTGGAAGAGAGGAGGTAGACCTGTACCCTAACAGGGCAAGAGTGACTGCACGTTTTCAGACTTGTTAATACAGCAACTCTCTTCACTTATAAAGATAGAGCCCAGTATCTTGGGTTCACTTCAATCCTTTTTCCTCCGGAGGGGTGAGTAGGAAGGAGGCAGGTAGGGAGAATTTCCTAAATACTATGTGTTGAGCCCAAAAGAGAACATTATAAGGTGCTAGCTAACATGTTAGGGAAGTATCTTGAACCATCCAGATCTACTCAGCTACTAGCTGAATACCAGAGTGACCTCATCTTAATACCATGTGGAGCCCAAATCACCCAGCCACGCCTTGACCCACCAAATCATGATTTATAAAAACACAGTGGTTGTTTGGAGTCACTGAGCTTTGGGGGGTAATTTGTTACACAGCGATAACTGGAACATACACTATGCACCACCCATCACCTGTACCTAAAATAATTTTGCCTTCCTCACTGTTGATGTATTTACTAATCATGTTTTTTCCACGTCAGGAACTCTCCACTGTTATCTAACTTCACATCTCCTAGCTCGTTTTGAGGTTTCATTTCTTTGATACAACACTGATCTGCTAGGATAGTTAATAACAGGTCATGCTATTAACTCTGCTTCTTCGAAGCTATTAATCGGAAGCATTCCTTCTTCACTTTTAAAACTAGAAACCTTTCTTCCTCATTTTAGCTTATGTAATAATGAAAAGACCTGCATCTTACATTTTAATTGGTCAGATGCTTGGGGAACAGCTATTTAGAATGCATTTTTTGTTTCAGTCCTTACTGAAAACTTCCAATAAAATGTCCTAGGTTCAGGTTGTTACTCTGAACGGTAGTTGTCTGTAATGGAGAAACTGAATGGAAAAAGTACCTATACATACCTCAGAAATGGTATTAACATTTTTTTTTTCATTTGTTTTCTTGTAACTTACTGTTTCTAAAAGTGGGAATCCCATAAATTTATCCCAGTTACTCAAGTTTTTATTAAACTTTTCTATATAGCTCTCAACCACCCCCCCCCCTTTTCTTTTTAAAACTGCCATGGATCCTTGACAGCCAAGTATGGCCTCTCATCAGACATCCTTGTTATGGGGACCCATGAGACAGTTTCTCAGGTCTTAATAATAAGGAATAAATGTTTCTCTAAAGCAGTTTTTATATCAATACTGCACGTAGGACTGATTTTTGTTAGACATTAGGAAGCTCAGGCCCCACCTTTACCAACTGTTACACTTGGTTTTACAGAACTGTTTACTGACTTCACCCTGGCTTCATCTGATTTCTACCATCCTCCTTTTCTGTTCCCTCATTTCCTCACTTAAGCCTGTGCAACAAGGTAGGGCGTTTTAGAAATCTTTCAAGGTCTTACAATGTGTTGATGTCCCTTTTATCAGCACACTCTACCATACTGGCACTTTGTATGTTTTATAATGCTTTTCAGCTGAGGAGTCAAGCTACTTTCTCAGTCATTAAGCCTTAGTTCAGGTGAACCAAATTCAGGGACACAAGCCAAAATCACCAAAACCTACTTCTCCATAGAACTGCTTTGCTTAAAAACAAAGGACAAATACATCCATTATTCAAATATACAGATATTTGTAGAAGGTTATTTGTAGATTTCCTTCTGATCTTTACTATAATTATACTTAGATATCTTTCTTTAGTTTTGAAGGTTTAAAATAAATTTAAGATCATATTTGAGATGAAACTATAACATATAAATGTTAATAGAGATAACTTTAAATGATTTTTAGTTGAATTGTTTATTCCACTGAATAAGTTTTGTCAATTGTTAAAAACTCTTCTTTTTGTTCCAAGTTATTTAAGTGGCTCCACAAAAATATATATAATGAAGTAATATTAAAAATGAATCCATGGGGACAGAACAAAAGAGAGCATGTTAAAATGTAACTAAAAGTAAACCCTCAGAACACCTCTATGGTGGCTTACGGACTGACTGAGCTGGACTTGGCACTTAGGCTCAATTCTCTTTCCTCACCACTGCCTCCTAACCTAGAGAGCTCGAATGCTTTTTTTGTGTGGCAAAGATCAGAGGTCACTAATCTTGTTTTCCTTGTAATATGCACTGGACATCACAAATATTTGTCATAGCTGCAGTTTTCAAATACCAAATATTCAATCCATCATGGCATTCATGAGTCAGAAACCATAACAAAAATCATACAGTAGATAAGAAGTTGATATACACCATGACCCTGAGAAAAGCTGGGTAAGTCCTCAACCCTCTGTGCACAGAGACATCATACTGAATGATTATAACAATTTTGAGTCTTCTTACAGCATAGTAGCATGCATGAGTTGAAGTAATGTTCTGAGAACAGCGACTCCTTCTGGAAGAATCTGTGAAGGGTAAACTAACTTACTTCTTGTTTTGATTATTCAGTGCTCTCATAGTGGGGTCCTTGTTTTACCCAGTGGGAGGCAAAACTTAATATTCTTGGAATAAAAATTTTTCTGTAAAAGAGAACAGATGCAGATACTTGCCTAACTCCACCTATGAATGCCACTGTCAGTTCTAATACTAGGTTGGTTATGATCCCAAGCAATAAACACAAAATACGAGATTTTATATTTACTGAAATCCCAAGGAAGCAGTTTGCTGGAAAAACAGAGGTTCCATAAATGATGACATTAAAGGGAAGAACCCATGAAGAAGCATTATAAGAAATGGCCAACACGCCTTGGGTACCACAAGTAGGTTAGTCAGGATGCATACTTCTGCCATTGGAGAAGGAGATAAATCCAACCACTTTAAAATTATTCCTGGCCAAATTAAAATTATACTGATTTAATCCTAGTTCACCTGAAACACAACACTCAATCTAGATAAAATTAATCTTTCCTCCCGTTTTAGTTGCTAGGGAAAGAAAACAGTTCTCCTGTGTCTTCTACCTTTAACCCAAACTTTCTCGGAAGTCTTTGTTACCTTTTTAAGACTTTTTTATAATTTCATTTAGCTTTTCAGTCATACTGCTCCAAAAATACTTTGGTTCCAACTATGACTTTTATACTTGAAACAACTGTAGCTTCACCAATTTTCTGGAGCTAAACTTGGAAATGGGCATTTCCTGTCTACACACACACACACACACACACACACACACACACACACACACACACACCCCTACATGTGAATCATGGTATTGTTTAGCTTTATTATAGAATTTTAAAGTTTTTTGTATATGTTAACAAACTTTATACTTTCTAAATGTTTTTTAATTCAATTTTCTTTAAATAACTAAGTGTCGAAAACTTTACAAAAATGTTAATCATCTTAAAATGGTTGATGTTTTCCTTTTTCTCCCTCAAAGGGTCTAAGGATGGGTGGGTCTTTTGTAGACACGCTTGTTTTTATCCCAAGGGGTATGTGATTGATTCTCCCTCAAGTCAACTTCTTTCAGACAGGGCCAGTCTATATTAATTTGTGTGATGGTGTTAGTTCTCAAAAACATCTTGAGTAAACAAAGAGATGTAAAATACGTGGCTTGCTCAGTGAATCTCAATTGCGAAATTTCTTCTTCTTTCGAAACTTCTTTCCTGCTGCATTTGCTGCTTTTTCAGCCATGATCTCTGAGTACTTCCTTCGGTTATATCTAAAAAGAAAACCAAACCTTTAAGTTCTAAAGTATGACATTAGAAGTTAATGTAATGGTGGTTGTATAAATTCTAACCCTCAAAACATTTTTTGCATTATCACTGTTTAATCACATTTGTACTAAGTTGCACCATGTGGAGCTGTACCTGGAGCTGGGAGACTGGGCAGTGAACAAGACAGCCACATTCCCTACCTTCATAGAGCCTGCAGTCCATTGAGGAAAAAATGGCAACTGTAAGGGAGGGCTTTTGAAAACTTTGAGCCACTGGACACCCATGCACTATATCCAGTTATCAGATGGTATCAAATGCTTTAAACATTTTTTGTAGGATGAAAATGTAAAAACAGACTAATGCAGAAGCAGATACGAGGCTCTATCTATCTTTAAGCCAGACATTAAAGAGATCTGCACTAAATCATTTTTGTTTTGTTCATGAAAATATTTGTTTTTGTTAATGTGTAATGGGATATTATTTTAAAAGGAATTAATAAATATTTTTGAAGTTTCTTAATATTAATTGCCATTATGGCAAATATTAATAAAATGTAGTACACAAAAGTTCAAAAGAAGGGCTTATCAGTACAGTTAATTAAGAAAAAGTAAAAATTCTCTAACCTGTAAAATTAGCCAGAAAGTTCTAGACCACTTTCACTGTTACATAAATCTGTTATTACTAAAGCTGAGGATTAGCTAATACTCTCTTTAAAACAGAAGCTATTTAACAGTTTTAAGAAAGGCAGAGGGAAGGGGCACCTGGGTGACTCAGTTGGATGTGTGACTCTTGGTTTTGGATCAGGTCATGATCTCATGGTTCATGAGTTGGGAGTTGGAGCCCCGTGTCCGGCTCTGTGCTGACAGAGTGAAGCCTGCTTGGGATTCTCGGTCTCCCTCTCTCTCTCTGCCCCTCCCCTGTGCACAGGCTCTCTCAAAAATAAACATTTAAAAAATAAAACAGAAGCTATTGAAGCCCATTACAATATTACAGCTCACTCAATCCCACAAGAAGTCAGCACCACAATTTACACACATTCTAACAAATGTAAGATTACATTAAAAATGAAACAAAATCAAATGTGTTCAAACTTCAGTGACATTAAAGTAATATAGACTGCTATACACATGGGATGCTACATATGAATCCAATGATGACCACAAATCTAAAACCGTAACAGATACACAAAAAATAAAGAGAAAGGAATCCAAGCATAATACTAAAGAAAGCCATCAAACCGTAAGGGAAGAGAGTAAGAGAAGAAAGATCAGAGAAAAACTATAAAAACAACCAGAAAACAATTAAAATGGAAATAATTACAACCTATCAGCAATTACTTTAAATGTAAATGGCCTCAATGTTCCAATCAAAAGACACAGGGTGAATGACTGAATAAAAAAGGAAGACTCCTCTATATACTTCCTACAAGAGACTCACTTCAGCCTGAAAGTGAAGGAATGGAAAGAGATATTCCGTGCAAATGAAGTGGGATGGGGGGTGGGGTGGGGGGGACAGGGTAGCAATACTTGTATCAGATGAAATAGACTAAAAATAAAGGCTGTTGCAAGAGACACAGAATGGCATTATATAATAAAGGGATCCAACAACAGGATATAGCTATTGTAATTTCTATGCATTCAATATAGAAGCCCCTAAATAGATAAAGCAAAAACTAACAGACATAAAGGGAAAACTGACAGTAATACAATAATTGTAGGGAACTTTAACACCCCATTTACACCAACAGATCATCCAGACAGAAAATCAAGGAGAAAACAATGGCTTTAAACAACATGCTGGATCAGATGGACCTAACAGAACGGTCCATCCCAGGAACAACAGAATACACATTCTTTTCTTTTTTCTTAATACATAATTTATTGATATGCTTTTCTTTATTTACTTTTTAATGTTCACTTATTTTTGAGGGAGAGAGACAGAGAGAGAGAGAGAGAGAGAGAGAGAGAGAGAGAGACAGAGCATGAGTGGGGGAGGGGCAGAAAGCGAGGGAGACACAGAATCAGAAGCAAGCTCCAGGCTCTGAGCTGTTAGCTCAGAGACCGATGCGGGGCTTGAACTCACAGACCATGAGATCATGACCTAGGCTGAAATCGGACACTCAACTGACTAAGCCACCTAGGCGCCCCATGAATACACATTCTTTTCAAGTGGAACAGTGAACATTCTCCAGGATAGGTCACGTGCTAGCTCATAAAACAAGTCTCAATAAATTTAAGACTGAAATCTTACCAAGCATCTTTTCTAAAGATAATGATGTGAAACAAAATGAATTATAAGAAAACAAACATGGAAGCTAAACAACATGCTACTAAACAACCAATGGGTCAATGAAGAAATCAAAGAGGAAAAAAATACATGAAGACAAATAAAAAATGAAAATGGTCAAAAATCTTTGGGACACAGCAAAAGCAGTTATGAGGCAACTTTATTGTGATAAAGGCCTACCTCAAGAAAAATACTTCAAAAAATGTAACCTTACACCTATAGGAACTAGGAAAGAACAAATGAAGACCAAAGTTAGTAGGATGGAAATAAAGATCAGAATGGAAATAAATGAAACAGAGACTAAAAAAACAAAAAAGCCAGACTCGTCAAGAAAAGAGAACTCAAAATCAGAAATGAAGGAGAATTAATAGATACCACAGAAATACAAAGAATTATAAGAGAATACTAAAATAAAAAAAGTATATGCCAACAAATTGTGGACAACCAAAAAAAAAAAAAAAAAAAGATAAACTGCTAGACACATAAAATCTTCCATAACTGAATCAGAAATAGGAAATTTGAACAGACCTATTACAAGTAACAAAACTGAAACAGTACTCCAGACTCTCAACAAAGTTCAAGATCAGATGGATTCACAGCTGAATACTATCAAACATTTAAAGAACAGTTAACATCTATTCTTCTCAAACTATTCCAAAAAATAGAAAAGGAAGGAAAAACTTCCAAATTCAATCTGTAAGGCATATTCCTGATACTGAAGCCAGACAAAGACACCACAAAAACAAAAAAAACCCCAAAACACTACAGGTCAATATGCCTCATGAACAGAGATGTAAAAATCCTCAACAAAATATTAGCAAACCAAATCCAACAATGTTAAAAAAAATCATTTACCACCATCAAATGGGATTTAATCCTCAGATTCAAGGGCAGTACAATATTTGCAAATCAATGTGGTGCATTAGTAGGAAAAAGGATAAAAACCACACGATCATCTCAGTAGGTGACCAAATACAACATCCATTTATGATTTAAAAACTCTCAACAAAGTGGGTTTAGAGGAAACCTACCTCAACAAAATAAAGGCCATATATGAAAAACTCACAACTAACATCATACTCAATGGAGAAAAACTTTAAGAGCTTTCCTTCTAAGATTAGGAACAAAACAAGGATGTCCAGTCTCACTAGTTTTATTCAATATAGTACCAGAAGTCCTAGCTGCAGCAATTACAGAAAAGAAATACAAGGTATCCAAATTGGTAAGGAAAAAGTAAAACTGTCACTACTTAGATGACCTGACATACATATAGAAACCCTAGACACTAACAAAACACTAACATAAAGTGTTTAACCCTAGACACTAACAAAACACTAACAAAGACACTAACAAAAAATAATCAGAATAAATAAATTCAGTAAAGCTGTAGAATACAAAATTAATATGGAAGTTGCATTTCTGAACACAAATAATGAAGTAGCAAAAAGAGAAGAAAACAATCCCATTTACAATTGTACCAGAAAGAAAATACCTAGGAATAAATGTAACCAAGGAGATTGAAACAACCTATATGCTGAAAGCTTTAAGACACTGATGAAAAAAACTGAAGACAACACAAATGGAAAGATGTATCACACTCATGTACTGGAAGAATTAGTATTTGTAAAATGTCCATAGCACCCAACATAATATACAGAATCAGTACAATCCCTGTTAAAATACCAACAGCATTTCTTGAAGAGCTAGAACAAATAAACCTAGAATTTGTATGGAACCACAAAAGACATTAAATAGCCAAGGCTATCTTTAGAAAGAAGAACAAAGCTGGAGGTATCATAATCCCAGATTTCAAGATACACTACAAAGCTATAGTAATCAAAACAGTAAGATACTGACACAAAATCAGACACAGAGATCAATGGAAGAGAATAGGGAACCCAGAAAATAAACACACACTTACACGGTCAGTTAATCTAGGACAAAGGAGGCAAGAATATACAATGGAGAAAAAGTCTTTTTAATAATTGGGAAACCTGGACAGCTACATGCAAAAGAATGAAACTAGTCCACTTTGTTATTCCATACACAAAAATAAACTCAAAATGGATTAAAGAACTAAATATGAGACCTAAAACCATAAAACTCCTAGAAGAAAACAGACAGTAATACCTTAGGACATAAGTCTTAGCAACATATTTATGGATAGGTCTTCTCAGGCAAGGGAAAACAAAAGCAAAAATAAACAAGTGGGACTACACCCAAATAAAAAACTTTTGCAAAGCAAAGGAAACCAACAAAACAAAAAGAGACAACCTACTGAATGGAAGATTTATGTGGAAATGGTATCTGATAAGGAGTTAGTATTCAAAATATGTAACTTCCACAATTCAGACCAAAAAAACCAATCTGATTAAAAAATGGGCAAAGGGACCATAACATTCTCCCAAAGAAGACATACAGAAGGGCAATACACATGAAAAGATGCTCAACATCACTAATTACCAGGCAAAATCAAATCAAAACCACAGTGAGACATCATATCACACCAGTCAGATTGGCTAGTATCAAAAATACAAGAAGCAACAAATATTGGCAAGGATTTGGAGAAAAGGGAACCTTCGTGCACTGTTGGTAGGAATAGAAATTGGTGCAACCCCTGTTGAGAACACCATGGAGGTACCTCAAAACATTTAAAATAGAAATACCATATGACTCAGTAATTCCACTAGCGGGTATTTACCCAAATAAAACCTCAAACTTGGAAAGATATATGTACCCCTATATTTATTGCAACATTATTTACAATAGCCAAGATATGGAAGCAACCCAAGTGTTCCAAGGACAGATGATGAATAAAGATGGTGTTAGACACAGAAACACAGACACATAATGGAATATTATTGAGCTACATAAAAGAATGAAATCTTGCCATTCATGACAACATGGATAGACCTAGAGGATACTATGCTGAATGAAATAAGTCAAAGAGAAAGACGAACACTGTAGGATTTCACTTACATGTGCAATCTAACAAACAAAAAACAGACTCTCAAATACTAGTCAGAATGGCTATTATCAAAAAGAAGTAACAAGTGTTGGTGAGGATATAGAGAAAAGGGAACCCTTGGGCTTGGTTGGTGGAATGTAATTTGGTGCAACCACTATGGAAAACAGTATGGGGGTTCCTCAGAGAGAGACAGATAATAAACTGATGGTTGCCAAAGGGAGGCTGGTGGGGGAATGGGTGAAGTAGGTAAAGAGGATAAAGAGGCACAGACTTCCAGTTGTAAAATAAGTCATGGAGATGAAAAGCACAGCAGAGAATATAGTCAAAATTACAAAAATGTTGTATGGTGAGATGATAACTACACTTATAGTGATGAGCATTTTGTAATGTACAGAATTGTCAAATCACTACGTTGTACACCTGAAACTAATAAAACACTGTATATCAACTATATCTCAACAAAACCAAAAACCACATACAATGCTGAAAATAACATTTCCTTCTGTATATCACACTTACTTCTTCTGTTCCAAGACATTCCTACTAATGGAACATATGACACATTAAAAATGTTAAGCTCCCTATCCTAAAGTATTCAGAGGCCAGAAACCTCTTAAGGAGAATGTTGTAGAAAGAATTAAAACATTCCATGGGCTAGTAGAGTGTTTCACATAGTGTGATACATAAATTTAGGTGACAGACAATATTCACTTAAAGCAATGTATTTATCTTCAGCTACATTACAAAAATTATAAGCCAACTAACCCATTTATAGTAGGCAATACAAAGTTTCCTTTTATTTTTTTCTTAAAAAATTTTAAGTTTATTTATTCTGAGAGAGAGAGAGAGCGCACATGCGCACACGAGCGAGCGCATGCCAGCAGGGGAGGGGCAGAAAGAAAATCCTAAGCAGGTGCCAGTGTCAGCGCAGAGCCTGATGTGGGGCTTTCATGAACTGTGAGATCATGACCTGAGCCAAAGTCAAGAGCTGGATGCTTAACGACTGTGCACCCAGGGGCCCCTAAAGTTTCCCTTTAAAATAAAAGCAGGCAACATACAGATGATGCAAACATGAAAATGGTACTCAGTGACTGAAGTATGGGAACAATGAACTGTAAGACTACCTCTAACCTGCAATTTTATGAGTTTCATTCTACGAAATTTCTAGTTTACTGCCATCTTCCTCATGCTATTACTTTTTAGTGAAAGCACTATCAACACTGCTGTGATTTCTGAGATTGCTAGCATTGAGATTACAAAATACAGGCCATTTTTAACCAGAACATATGGATCACACTTAGTAAGCAAAGAATCAGCTTGCACCACACCTCTGTAGGGATGGAGAGAAAACGACAGGCTTGAAATAGAATAGGAGAGACAGTCTGAATGTGGGATTAAAGGAAGTGCTAACGGATGGATGGTGATGCTGTTCAGTCATGAGATACAGAGCACTGGGAAAGGATTAGACTGTATTGCAAGGGTGGGGTCAGGAAAGACCAAGTTAGCCCTTAGAGGTGTTTGTGAGATATCCACTGGATGCTCCTGAGGTAGCAGATGGCTATGTGGGTATGGGGTCAAGAGAGATCCGGACTACACATAATACATTTGGAAGCCAGCAGTATATAAATTATAACTGATGCCCTATGGGGGATGAAACTCCCAAGGAAAGAGTAGTGACAAAAGAGCATTGCTTATTTCTAAAATTTTTACCATTACCCAGACTAATTAGGTTATGTAACACTTGGGTTAAATTTGTTTTCCATGCTGACAAAGTTTTTAAAACCCTTTGACAGACCTTTTCACTTTTGCTATTAAACCAATCTGGAAGTTCAACAAGGGTTTCTGTATGAGGTATGCTTTTAAATCTCCTAGAATACACACATAGCTGCTTTAAGGACATTTAAACATACTCCCAATTGCTCCCATCTTAAAAAAATCCTCCAACTCCACTTCCACTTCACAAACTTCAAAGAATTGTCTCCATGTCTCCAACTCTCTCCAATCCAGTCTTCTCCCCAACTCCTGGCAAGAATGCTGTGACCCCCACGTAAATCCAAAGGAAGTTTTTAGTTCTTATTTGATCTCTCCGCAGCATTTATTCCTGTTAACCATTCCCTCCAGTTTATATCTGCTTGTAACACTCTCTTGCCTGACTGCTATGACACTATGCCATCCTGGTTGTGTTAATGTCCGTCGGGCATTCTTTCCCAGACTCCTTCACAGGTTCAGTCTCCTCTAGCCAGTCAAATATTTACGAGCTTCCATGTAAAGCAGTAGTTCTAAAGTGGGAACTGCTTATGCCCCACAGGGGACATCTGAAAATGTCAGTAGTCATTTCTGTCACATATTGGGAATGGAGTGCTACTGACTTATAGTGGGCAGACACCAGGGATGCTGTTACACATTCTACAATGCACAGGACAGTTCCCCCTAATAAACAGTTATCTCATCCAAAATGTAAATAGTGCTGCCATGCTAAAGCATTTAAAAATTACCTGAAATTTAAAAGTTTATGTATGTTCGAAAGGAAAGCATATATAATTCAAAATGAAACATAAATTCCTTTACCTTCTGAACTCAGAATCAGCCAGCAGTTCTTCCACAATAGTTCTCTTCCTTTGTTTTTTGGGAATTCGGGAATGGTAGAAGTCAGCTGGATTGTCAACAATGGTTCCAATCTATGAGCAAATGATTGAAACAAGTCATGTAATACTTGAATGCTAAGTTGCCTTCATATTTCAGGGTAGCTCTAACAAACTGTATTTATAGAAAGGAAAGGAAAACCCAACTTAAATTGAACTGATATTAAAGTTAGTTTTGCCATTTTTTTAAAGCAAAAAGAAGTCACTTATTCAATTGGCATTGGGTCCTACTAATGACATTTCAATAGAATTTATAGTAAAGTCAAAAATCCTTTTATGTAATTTAGTGCTAGGCAGTACAGCAAACTCTTGATGAACAGTGTAACTAGAAAAGTGGGACAGAGAATTTAAATTCTTTTACGTTTTAGTTTCTCAATATAACTGACACATAAATTCTACTACACACTTATTTGATCCCATACGTTACCATAAATGCTACTTTCTTAGTAACCACTCTGTTCATACATTCAACCAAGTAAAACTTACAGTGTCTACTATGTGCCAAATACTGTGCTAAGTGTTTGGGAAACAAAGACAGCATCTGGCTCCTGCCAGCAAAGAGCCCATAGTCTTAAGGAAAATCCATAGAAGATTATCCATAGAAAATCCATAAAAGATTAAAGCATAACATATTATGCTGAACAAAACACTGCAGATGCCATGAAAAGATAAGTGACCACTTCCACCTAATGGAAGCTAGCGTTTCACAAGGATGACATTTTAGCTTAGATTCATATGGGCAAAATTTCACCAAGCAAACACAGCAGAGCTAAGTACATCATGCAAAGTCAGAATGCCAAGACCAGTCTGTGTATATTCTGAAAAGACAGTGGCTGAGTGTGTTGGAGCTTAAGAGGGCTACGTGACAAAAGAAGGGCTAGTTAGCCAGTTGGAGTGCAGACTATATAGACTCTACCCTCTATGTCATAAAGAAACATCGAAGGTATCATTGCATGATACCTGTGATATCACTGAGCAGAGGTGTATCATGAGCAGACTGCCTTTTTTTTTTTTTTTTTTTGTAAAGAATAGATAACTGGCTACAATGTAAAGGATAGACTATCAGGGAGAGCAGACCTGGAGGAGGACTACTATAGTAATTCAGATGACTGACAAGTAAGGTAATCAACAAGAACAGAATAAAGTTGACAGCTACCAGAGGGTGAATCAACTGGATTTTCATCTGCAAACACTCTGAATACCAACTTTTAACTTATTTTCAGCATTTGCCTGGAGATGACCCTCTACCTGGAGAAGTGGAGTTTGGTGCAAATGATTCCCTATGTCCTCCTCCATCCTGTAAGGATTCTTGCTGTTAGTGCTGTTAGGCTAATATTATTTATACACGATACACCCAACTTAGAGGTTCCGTAACTTTTAGAGGTATGACCTGGCAACTTAGTTACCATTTGCAACACCTTCTCTCTATAGAGAACGCCATTACAAGTTGGTGGCCAACTGGGTTCCGGCCATTATGACACAGCCTAAGCAGATGTGCGACATAAATATTCATCTGTGTTAAGAGTAAACAGAAAGAACACTATAGTGCTCTCCAAACTAAAATCCACAGAACATCACCACCGCCATTGTTGTTTCATACCTGGAAGTACTTGGGGAAGCCATCCCTATCATTTTTCTTGTAAAACCTTTTTGGGTCCATGCTAGCTCTCATCTTCAGTGCTTTGAGATCATTTTTAAGTTCATCTGTCAATTCTGGAGCTTTCATACCAAACCAGCCATCACCCGCTGATTTTTGTCGTTCTTTCTGAAATTCAGATTTCAGGAACAATTAAACCGAAAATTCTGACCTTAATAAGCAGTGTATAAACTATACCTCATTCCCTCCAAAATTATATATAGAGAATTTCATCAATTAAAAACTAAAGAGGTTACTTTACAGAATATATTAGTCCTCAGATTCACCTTTCATAAAAGAAATTGGATCACAAGTGTTTACTTTGGTAAATTAGGCACAGTATTATCGGTTTCATAAATGAGGGTTCCTTAAAATTTATTTTGTGTCTTAGTAAGAATTGCTGATTTGCCGGAGAATAACCCACACCTTTAATCTTTATTCTGTAATCTGGCCTACACAAGAGATAACGTATAAAAACATTTTCACTTCTGGAGCTTGTATGTTAACATTAACATTTTTATTCAGTCACCCAGGTGACTCAAAGTCACTTAGTCTGACCAGTCCAGAAATTTATGTTATTTCTAAAATTTAAAAAAAAAAAAAAAGGATTCTATTCTTTGAGAAACTCCCAGCAAGTTATTTACCTAATTTTATTTTTCATTCATACAACATTATGGAGTGTCTACCACATGCCCGTAATGCTCCACCTTAGTGCTGAGACATTACCAGGGGAACACCCTCAAATTTCCTTCAAGCTCCCTTGATAATTTTACCCTTACTAGTTGAAATGGCAGATGGAAACAATCCCCTATTTTTACAAAAGAAACTAGTTTGTTAGGGGTGCCTGGGTGGCTTAGTCGGTTGAGCATCTGATTTCATCTCAGGTCATGATTTCACGGCTTGTGAGTTTGAGCCCTGTGTCGGGCTCTGCGCTGACAGCTCGGATACCTGCTTCAGATTCTGTCTCCATCTCTCTCTGCACCTCCCCTCTGTTCATGCACTCTCTCTCTCTCTTCCTCTAATATAAACTTTAAAAGAAATAAAAAGTAAATAGTTTCCTACCCTCTCAGTGGGCAGACTACAAAGACCTGGGTTTTTTTTTACATTAAGTTCCCTATGACAGCTTACAACAGAGCTCTTAACTCTTTGTGAACAGTACCTATAAACCAAGAGGTGTGGACAGTAACCTTATATGCTGGCTGTCTAAGGAAGGGGAAAAATTTTCACCAAGTGAAAATCTATATAAAACGTGTTTATGAAACTGTATTTTATGGGACCTTAAATTTTTGTGACAACTTTCTTTGCAAATACATTTTTTTTTTAAGATTTTATTTTTCTTACATAATCTCTACACCCATCATGGGGCTAAACTCACAACCCTGAGATAAAGAGTCACGTGCTTTACTGACTGAGCCAGCCAGGTGCCCCCAAAATACATATCTTTAAGTTACACAACCATGGTGTATAAGCTGAATATATATAGTCAAACACACCTAAACATTCTAAATAATGAGAGCCACTATACTTACTCTGCGTTTTTTCTGAAGTTGATACTTTGATTCACTATATGGTGGGACACAGTAGTTTTTTTCAAAATCAGGAGTAATGATGGTTTTCTGCAAAAGCTGCAAAAATATTAAATTGGTTTTAAATATCAGAATATCATATAATCTTTTCCAACATCTTTTACTTTCTAAGCAAAACATCTCCCACACTGAAGACTACTCCAAATATATTAGCCCTCTTTATATACAACCATACTACTGCAAAGTTGTTTCAGTCCTTAAGTTTGTAAATTCTATTACAATAAAAATGCTTTAGAAGGCAAACTGAAGGATTATTTTAGGAAATTTCATCTTAAATTTCTTTTTCTAAACTAAATCAACACACATCAGATTTACATTAATTTGTCTAACTTGTTTTCATGGATTTGCAACCAGCCACTTGCACCAAACTGGAAAATAAAGTCAACAGGAAAAATGCCATAACAGCTCTTGAAATCTCTGAAAAAAACAAGCAAAAAAACCCTAGCCTTTAGTAAGTTCTTTTGATGTTGGTAAAACAGCTTCCTCTGATCTGAGGAGTTGATATTAAGTACAGTGATATAAATCTGATTAAACAACACACGCTTTTTTATATCAACGAAACCATCCTGTCTCGATAAATCTGCTTTGTACAATTCAACAACATATCTCAGACACTCCTCTAACATCAATTCACACACAGATCAACTTCATACTTTTTAATAGCTGTTACACACTATAATTTTTCTTCCAATATTTAAGTGTCCATCAAACCTTTTCCCACTTAAACACTATAAACATCATCTCTACACACATATGATTATTTCTGTAAGATTCTAAGTTTTGACAGGTACTGCTAAATTGCCTTGTATTCAAGTAAGGTTAAATCCTATCAACGGTTAATCAGTGCCTTTCTCTTTACATTGCTACCAACACTAGGTATTTTTGTGTGTCGTTAGTGGTGCCTTATGGCTGTTTCCATTTGCTGTTGATCATCTTTTTGTGTATTTATTAGTTATATACAAGTCTTCTGTGGGAGATGCCTATACTTTTGGGGGTTCTTTTTCAGAGGTTCTTCTGCATTTTTTTGTTTGCATACGATAAACAAATATTGTCATAATACTATTTATGTTACTAAAAAGTGCTTCAGGGTAATTAGTCCTCTCCCATAGTGTAAGAACTAAAGAAGACTGCTCCTGAGCCCTCAAAATAGTTCACAGAAATATTAATTTGGTCAATAATATTTGAAATTAATCAATTCAGAAATCCTCAATTCAGGTTCAGGCATAGGAGTTTCTGGATAGTAGAGTAGCAGTCTAGACTTTCCTTTCACTCAGAAATGAGAGCATGACATTTATTTAGCAGATTGTTAGGAACTTGTTGTGTATCAAGTACTATAGTGTGAATGAGTGAGTGAGTGAGTGAGAGTGTGTGTGTGTGTGTGTAGAGAGAGGTTGGGGGGTGGATGCCACTGACCAGTAGTGGGTAGAGGCCAGGGATGCCGCTACATATACTAAAGTGAACCAGACACCTTCCTACCACAAAGAGTTACTAGCACAAAAGACCAGTATTGCTGAGGTTGAGGAATCTTGTTTTAGAAATATAAAGCTAAAAGACAGGAAAGTAACAATTATATGATCAATAATGAGTCAACTCTATATTGGGTGTTGCAGAAGCACAGAGGTGGTGGAAAAGACTAGAGTTGGAGAATGTCTCCCAAAGGCAGTGGTCTATGAACTCTGCACTGGCTTTGGAAAGAGCAGGACATGTTCAGGGAACACAGCATGTGAACACAGATGAAGGAACAGAGGCACCTTGTTTTGAAGAACCACTGAAGGACTTAAACAGGAGAATTTCATGGTTAGATTTGTGTTTGTGTGTTTTTTTAAGTAAACTCTACACCCAATATGGGGCTTGTACTCACAACATGGAGATCAAGAGTGGTATATCACATATACAACTTCCGAGCCAGATTTGTATTTTTAAAAAGAGAAATCTAGCACAAGTATGGAGGGTGGCTCGAAGAAAAGAATAAAGAGACCAGTGCAGTAGCCTAGATGAAAAAACAAAGCCCTGCACTAGCCAATGACAGTGGGGTGAAAAGGAGGGAACAGAGGACAAGGATGTAAGAAGCGGCATCCCTTAGGCTCAGTGATTGACTGCAAAAGGAAAAGAGATTTTGGCATCATTAACCAGCACAGAGAATACTGAAGAAGGAGCTGGTTCCAGCCAGAAAGAGAGGGAGGGCTATTAGTGAGGTCGAATGCCTGAGCAAATCTGAATAAACAGTCAACAGGCACAACAGGATTTAGACACAACAGGCACAACAGACCTGAAGGGACAGCAAGGCTAGAAAATACAGATTTGGGGAAGCCATGCACGGTTGTGATGAAAGATGAGGGTTTGGGTGAGGTTGCCTACCCTGGGATTTCCTTCTGCAATTATATGTATAATTTTAGGTCTACATGCAGGTATGTATTTTTCCTGGTGGGGGGAGTGGGCACCCAGTTTTCAGATTCTCAACAGCATCCAGGACAGTTAAGAACTAAAAATATAGCAGGAAAAGAGAAGAAAACACAACCCCTGGGATCACTGGTAGGTGCAAGAAGAGGAATGCTGATCCTGTATTATTTTTCAAATGTCATCTTTTATAGCTAGGACTTTGAGGGGGGAAAAAAGGAGCACAGTAGGCTAATGTGGTTTTCCTGCAGGAAAATTAGTCTCTTATCAAGGACTAATAATTTCTAGAAGTGACTGCATAGTTCTGTGAAAACCAACAGGACACTCCGTGTAACTTACCATGTCTTTCTTTTTCTCCTTGATCTGTGTTAGGGTTCTCTTATTTGACTGTAGTTTGTCTGCATTGAAATTAATATACAAACCACCCAACTGCTTGATACTCATACCAGGGTCTATGCTGCTGCTTGTCAACTTCAGACTGAAAGAGAAACAATCACTTAAAGATCAAGTAATCAAATAAAAATGGAAACAACTGAGATTGTATTTTTATTTTTATTGTTTTTTTAAGTTTTTTTGAGAGAGTGTGTGAGTGAGTGGGGGAGGGGGTCGCAGAGAGAGAGAGAGAGAGAGAGAGAGAGAGAGAGAGAGAATCCCAAGCAGGCTCTGTGCTGTCAGTATAGAACCCAACGCGAGGCTCGAACTCACAAACCGTGAGGATCATGACCTGAGCTGAAGTCAGATGCTAAACCGACTGAGCCACTAGGTGCCCCGAAACTATATTTTTAAAATCACCTTTTTCTTTCTCTCCTTTACTGCCAATGACCTCTCCCCCTACAAAAAAAAGAAAAATCTTACTTTTACAATGGATTCTGAAAAACTGAATACATGTTTTAAATCTAATACAACCATTTAGAAGAACATTCTAGGATGAATAATGAAAAAAGTTTTTTTGATTTCCTAGATTTTCTTAAAGATTAAGACCACATAATATGCCAATGTACTTCATAAAGGAATTTTATAAAGAAAAGAATTACAGAAAAGAAGAGATACATCTGGCAGTTTAGCTCAACTTCATACACAGGCAGTGAGTTAACAAATATACACCTGCCATTGCTAATAACAATGAATGAGAAAGGTTTTGAACTTCCAAGTTACCCAAACTTAAAACGTTTTCCTGGGTAACTAAGGGCATTTGGTAATGCTTCTAAATCAGTGAGTTTTAAACAGTAATGAGTATCTGTATTTCCCACTGAAGGTTTTTAAAAATATAGAAGTCATATTCCAGGATCTACCAAATCGGAATCTTCTACAGTTGGGTCTGGGCTCCTGCTATATTTATGTAATAAGAATTTCTACTTTTACATTACTGAAAGGTCCTGTTTATAAGCAAATACATTTGGACTTATAGTTACTTTCTTACCTAATTATTCATATAAACATCAGTTGAAAGCTTTGATCAATCTCTACTGGAAAGTGAAATCACTACTGTAGTGGTTTGGCAGTGACTCTCAACCCTAAAGGTACATCAGAATTATCCTGGAGGAGAGTGACTTTAAAAAATAATAAATATGCCTGCGGCTAGCCTCAGAGGTTTATTTCATTGGTTTAGAGTGAAGACTGGGCATCCATTAATGTATAGGCCCTTACCAAGGATGTCTGTATTTCCAGTGGATACATTGCCACCAGGGACCTGTGCCTAGAAAAACAAATTTAAAAGAGAAAACAAAAGAAACTAAAGAAATAGCCCCAAACATTGGTACTTTTCAATGGGTGACAGATTATAGGTGATTATTTTTCCTCCAGCTTTTCTCTATTTTTCAACTTGTCTATGATCCGCATGGAGGAAAAGAAAAAAAGTTCCTTTCCTTTCATGTTCTTCTTAACTATCATGTAGGAAAATCTTTAATAGATTTCTAATAGGTCACTGGTGGGAGAAATATGACTAACAAAGGCACACACAGAGACCAGGGAAATGGGGGATAAAAGAGCTCTTTCATAAAGAACCTGAGGCAGGGGCTCCTGGGTGGCTCAGTCCAGTAAGTGGCTGACTTGTGCTCAGGTCATAATCTCACAGTCTGTGAGTTTGAGCCCCACATCTGGCTCCCTGCTGTTAGGGCAGAGCCTGCTTCAGATCCTTCCCCCTCCCCCCACCCCCTTCCCCACTCATGCTCTCTCTCAAAAATAAACATTAAAAGAAAGAAAAAGAACATGAGACAGTAATTTTCTCAATTCCCTTGATTTCTTTTATATTTTTATGGTAAATTAGCCACTTGAAGTATGTATCAAAAACCTACTTTTAAAAATAAAGGTAAAACTTACAGTTTAGACTTTGTGCTATTTAGTAAGTCGTCTTCATCACTAAAGTCATCATCTTTATTTCTGTCAAGGTCTGATGGTTCTTCACTTTTTTCATCTTCTTCCCCCTCTTCTTCCTCAGTGGCAACCTCACTTGCCTTGTCTCCCTCATCCAGGTAAAAATGTTTATCAGTACTCAGTCCAGGAGTTGTGTCGATTACAAACAATGGGTTGTCACAAGACATATTTTCTGAGTCTCCATTTAATGACTCCTTTTGACCATTATTTTCAACAAAACACACAGTGTCCTCTTCGTTCTCACTGTTTTCAGACTGCTGGCTCTCATCACTGCTGAGCACTAATAAAACAGAATCACCTTTATCCAGAGATGTGTTGAGCTCAGACTTGAACAGTTTGGTTTCGCTCTCAAAATCTATACCCCTTTTGTCATTCATGTCTTCACAGATACCTTTGACCGTGTACTCTTCTTCATCACTACCACCACCAAATTCTGTCAGGTCACTTGTTTTTTTGGTGTTCTTTCTCTCTTCATTCCATCTGTCCACTTCTACCACTGCAAATGTCTGAGCTAACGATTTCATTATAGCCTGACAGTTCACACGTGAGGACTCTGATGTAGTTTTGTTATTTTGGGGGGTTGACTGCCTCTGAGAAACTAACTGCTGAATGTCAGTGTCCTGAGGTTCAGAAAGGCTCTCCAACTGAGAATTTTTCTCATTTCTTTCTTTCTCCTCCTCTACCATTCCTTTGGATTCTTCATCTAAATTCTTACAATTCTGTTTTGTTACTTCTTTGAGAGGTACAACACTGGCCTGTTTTTCCTCTCTTAGATTAGAATGTTGACGTTTTTGCACTGCTTTTTTTCCCCCTGAATTTCTGTGGAAGGAATCATCAAAGTCATTATAAGTTTCATTACTATAGAAATTTGGCTTATTTATCTGAGAAAGAGATCTTGCAAGTAAACAAGCTGTTTGTCTGGTATCTGAATCCTCTGAATTCGTTGGCAAATTTATGATCTGCTTTTCAGTTTCTGGTACAACGTTAGTATATTTCTCCTCAGTTTGTGACTGTAATTTCTTCTGCATACTTCTTGTTGTCCTCATAGTTGTAACTTCAGAAAATGAAGAAATGTCTGAGTATGATGATTCAGCATCAGAAATAATTTCTGCATATAATTCTTGGTTTGGCTCACTTAGGGATTTAGCCTTACTTCTTCTAGTTCTTGTAGTTATTAATGTGGGCGGCACAATTCTAGAAATACCTGAGACATGTGATTCAGCTTCAGAGTCATCGTCTTCTTCAGCATGAGACTGATTTATTGGAGTTATTTTCAGCCTTTTCCTAACACTAGACACCGGGGTGCATGCAACCAAGATCTGCCGTCTCCTAGTTACTCTTAAGATGGGATCCTGGAGCTCAGACACAGAAGAACAATCTGACTCTACCTCAGAGGTCTCTCCATCAGCATACGGCTTGTTTATCTCTGGTAATGAGACTGTAGTTCCACTCTTCCTCTTTCTGCTTTTAGGAGTTCTAGGGACTGGACTTTGTTTCCTAGTGGTTTGTGATTCAGCAGTAGTTGGGTCAACAGGTGGAGATTCTTTCCTGCTTTTTGGATGTGCCTGAATTCTTTTAGCAGAATTCTGGAAGTCAGAACAAATACACTGTCATTTAGGTAGGGCTGGAATTAGGGCAAAGCGAGTGAAATACTCCTCTCAGGAGCAAATTTTAAGAGGGCACTAAAAAACTCCAGTGAGATTAATACAAAGACAACCACCACCACCCACGATTAAAGAAAAAAAAAAATCAACTTAAATACTGGATCTGCCCCTGCATTTGCAGGACCCTTCCTCATAACAACGAGTACCCATGATTTTAGAAAGTAAAAATAAAAAAAAACACATTGGATCTGACTTTACATTTGGAGAACCCTGCCTCAGTCTCCTCCCCAAGACCTAGATCTAACTTTAGGGAACAAAACAAGTAATTGAAAATTTTCTGCACTGAGTTATCAAATGCCAAATATGCTTGGTGGACCTGCATTCCGACACACACAGGAGAAGAGAGAAGAAGGGAAATACTAACTCTGAGCACAGATGTGTTTAGGAACACACGCACACACCAGTGGAATCAGTCGCGTCCCTTACCTTCACGTACCTAAAGGAATTAACGCTCCATTCCCTTGGCCACACAATCAGACCAGCGGACCACTAGCGCCACTAACAGCCACCAGGCGGCGTCACTGAAGCTCTCCCCCACGCCGAAAGAAAGTGCTGAGGCCATTACCAGCTCCCCCACGTGAAAACGGTCACCTTCTTTTCACCCTCATCAGACTCGTATTTGGTTGCCGAAATTAATCCTCCTTCGTACGGTGCTAACAGGTTAAAAGGCCGCAGCCGTGCACCTGCATTACGGAGGTGTACTGCCCGAAGCAAGTTACCTGACCTCTCTGTTCCCTGCTGAGGACTGCCTTAAAAGATCACAGCGAGGACCGAAGAGGTAGCTACGGGCTTGGCAACGGGCCTGAAACAGGGCAGCGTGCGACCGGCTCGGGCCCTTCCCGCAGCTCGTCCTCACGCTGCTCCGCCGGGCCTGCGCGCCGCCCTACCACCCAAGCGCAGTTCTGCGAAGCGGCGGGCAGAAATGACGGCACGCTGCGACCCCTACCTTCTGCTGGGAGTTTTCAGCCAACGTGGCTTGGATCGTGGCCTGAGGCCGTCCGGACCTGGTTACCACCATCTTCCCTGCTCGCGGCCACCTCGGTTCCGGCGCCCCGGAAGTGCGTCAAAGAAGCGACTTGCTAGCCTTTCCCGCGAGGATTCCGGCACTAGCGAGACTCTCGTGCCAGTCTCCGGCCCACGGACCTAGGGATTCCCAAGGCCACGGCTTCTAGCGTTCGCTGCGGTGTTTGCTGTGGAGGACTGATCCACCGGCCTTCTGCGGGGAGTGACCTTCGGGGCGGCAGCGGAACCCGCAGTGACCGAGGGCCCCGTGCCAGTTTCACACAAAACTGGAAAATTGCATCTTCTTTCCAACTTCATCCATCCTCTTATTTGGCAGTTCTAAAGGTCTTAATGTAGTCATGGGTGTGACCGAAGGAATCATTTGCATTGTTTATACTACCTTTTTTTTTTTTTCAACATCCTGCCCTTATTCGTACAGTTAAATATTAATAACATTGAAAGACTCTTTGAGGTAAAGATGTATTTGTTAAATGTCTCAGAAACTCGGAGACTAGTTAGGAAGCTGTGTGATCTAAAGGTGGGATGGTAACTAGTGATCGGAAATAAGCAGAAAAGAAGAAATGTAAATTGTAAAGGAGAGCGATCATTTTGTTTTGTTTTGTTTTTGTTGCAGTGAAGGGAATGACCAGAATCAAAAGGCGTTTCATTTTCTTTTAGGATGAAGGATGGAGACCTAGAATATATCTGAGGAGAATGGAAAAGGATTGAAGTAGGTAAACGGATATTGGAAGTGAGAAAGGATGAATGCCTCATCAAATCTATTCTTTACTGTTTTTAAGAGAAAACTAATTTCTCTTACTGTCACAAAACATACTTAAGTGGGCACATTGCCATCTAGCTAAATAGGTCCTTTCGGTAGCTTCCCTTGCAGCCAAATGTGGCTAAATTTTGGCCAATTACATACAAATTAAGGGTTGTGTAGTTATTTAGGGACTACATGAAAAGTAGGGATTTTTCATATAGGGACTATATGAAAAGAGAGGAGGTCCTCCCTGCCTTCTTTAATTGATTTTTCTCCCTGGAAAGCTATATTCTCAGGTTTCATGCAGCAAGTTTGTGCCATGAGGATAAAGCCAAACTTTAGGGATGGCAGAGCAGTGAGAAAGAAAAAGTGAGTACCTGACAACTGATGGAGCTGCCATTTCGGTCCTAAACAGCCTACTTCTAGATCTGTTTCACCTGAGAGAAATACCTGTGTTTTTATTTTTTTTCCTTTTCAAGTTTTTATTTAAATCCCAGTTAATATACAGTGTAATACTAGTTTCTGGTGTAGAACTTAGTGACTCATCACTTAAACTGTCATCTGGAGATTTTCTGTTACTTGCAGCTGAGCCTAATCCCTACTGAAGAATAGAATAAAAAATAGAAATGGAGGAGTTAGTCACAAAAGAATGCTCCTTCCTTTGAGGCAGGAGGGAAGAGTTGATATCAAGCACAGAGAGAATGTGAATGCAAGGAAATTAAAGGGGAGGAAAGAAGAGGGGCTTTTGGATGGATAACCTCAATCTTCTCTGTAAGTAGAAGATTCATCTACTTAGAGGAATGGAAAAGGTTTAGACTGACTCTTATGGGGAATGTGGTAAAACAAAGGAGGAATTTTAGTATGGCCAAGTAGCAATGAGACTATGTAAGGAAGAACATAAAAGAAAACAGGCTAGATTTAAAGACAAGATAGAATGCTGTAGAGGAAGGAAAACGAACCTATTGGAGGTGGGTAGTGGAGATCAAAAGCATGGAAGACAAAGTGTCAATTATAGTAATAGCAATGAGCTCAAATTTGCTGGGTACTAAGTGCTTTACATGCATTAACTGTACAACTTTAACACGAACAAATTCATGAAAATAGCAATTAAGATCATAGGAGTGGGTATAGAAAATTGGGAAGTATTAGAAAATCAATGTGTAATGTTCACTTGTAAGTATAGCCCCTTTAAAGTAAAACAAATAGGGGCACCTGGGTGGCTCAGTTGGTTAAACAACTGACTTTGGCTCAGGTCATGATCTCACTGCTTGTGAGTTGGAGCCCTGCATCGGGCTTTGTGCTGACAGTTCAGAGACTGGAGCCTGCTTCGGATCCTGTGTGTGTCTCTCTCTCTCTCAAAAATAAATAAAACATTAAAAAAAAAAAAAGTAAAACAAATAAAACCCCCAAACATTACAATCTTAACAAGCTCAAGAAACAAAATGCAAAAATTAAAATGGCAGTACATATTCATAATCTGAGAAGACTGAGCTGGTCTACTATAAACAGTCTGCTGATAATAGGCAAAACTGTGATGTGTTCCGTTTTTATGTGGGCTAATCAGGTCTGCCATGTTTCTATTTCTACCTTTATTGCCTACCCTCTTTATCCAAGGTAGATTTAGGGCCAATCCAGTATACCCAATTTTAGTTAGATATAGTATGAAAATACAGTAGTTATCACTCAGGCTCAAAGGGAAATTCTCCCTTGATAATATTTTACTAATTAAACCTTTATTTTTTATTTTTTTTTTAATTTTTTTTTTTCAACGTTTATTTATTTTTTGGGACAGAGAGAGACAGAGCATGAACGGGGGAGGGGCAGAGAGAGAGGGAGACACAGAATCGGAAACAGGCTCCAGGCTCTGAGCCATCAGCCCAGAGCCCGACGTGGGGCTCGAACTCACGGACCGCGAGATCGTGACCTGGCTGAAGTCGGACGCTTAACCGACTGCACCACCCAGGCGCCCCCTAATTAAACCTTTAAACTGAAGGTTTGAATCTTTCCCTGGAACTTCAAGCATTAACCAAAAGATGGGGGTTTTAGTTCATGAGCCTTCTAAAACTAAATACTATTTGTAACCATTCTGTGTTAAATAATATAAAACACTAAAGTTTGGCTTGTAAGATGGACCCCAATGGTCCAGTCTCCAAGTTTCAAACCTTTGAATGTGGCCTGGACTTACAATGATAGGAATGACAAGTGATACATATCTATTTTATGATTAGATTACAAAAAAAAGCTGGCTTCCATCTTGCAGTCTCACTTGTTCATTTTGTGGGAAGCCAGTTGCTTGTTATGAGCTGCCCTTTGGAGACACCATGTGGCAAGGAAGTGAGGGAGGCCTCTTGGCCTATAGCCAACCAGGAACTCATTCCAGCCAACAACCATATGAGCAAGCTTGGAAGTAGACCAACCTCAATCAAGTATATAGATGAGTCTGTAATTCCAGTTTATGCTTTTTTTTTAAATGTTTATTTTTGAGAGGGAGACAGAGTGGAGTGGGGGAAGGGCAGAGAAAGAGAGAGGGAGAACAGAATCTGAAACAGGCTCCAGGCTCTGAGCTGTCAGCACAGAGCCTGACATGGGGCTCAAACTTGGGAACAGTGAGATCGTGACCAAGGCCCAAGATGAACGCTTAAGCGACTGAGCCATCCAGGCACCCCCTGACACTTTTGATTGCAACCTTTTGTGACACTTTGAGGTACCCAGACACAGCAATAAATCAAAGTCACTATCGAATAATTCTGCTTTAAAATTTCAAGTAAGTAGGTGCTCTTTAATGTCTAGCTTCTTGCACTCAGCATGTGTCTGAGATTCATCTATGCTACTGTATGTAATTTTTATTGCTGAGGAGTATTCTATGATAATACAATTCATTTATCCATTCAGCTGTTGATAGCATTTGGGTGGCTTCCAGTTTTCAGCTATTATAAGTACTATAAACATTTATGTCCTTTTTGGACATATGTTTTTATTTTTCTTGAGTAAATACCTAGAAGAATAATTGCTGGGTCATATAGTAAGTGAACACTTAATTTTGTAAGAAATGTCAAGGTATTTTCCGTAGTGGCATACCATTTTACATTCCCACCAGCAATATCAGAGTTATGCTTGCTCCACATCTTTGTCAGTACTTGGTACTATCAGTCTTTTAAAATTTTAAATATTTTGTGTTTTAGTGACATCTCATTGTGGTTTTAAATTGTATATCCCTGATGTTAAGCATCTTTTAATGTTTTTTTTTTTTAACGTTTATTTTGAGAGAGAGAGAGAGAATGCATGCACGCATGCACGCACTGGGGAGGGGCAGAGAGAGAGGGAGAGAGAATCCCAAGCAGGCTCTGCACTGTCAGCACAGAGCTCCATGTGGGGCTCAATCCCATGAAACACGAGATCATGACCTGAGCCAAAACCAAGAGTCAGATGCTTAAATGACTGAGCCACCCAGGTGCCTCTATTCATGTTATCTTTGGAGAAAAATCTAACATTTTGTCTGCTTTTCATTGGGTTATTATGAAGTTATGAGTTCTTTATACAATCTGGATACAAGTACCTTACACATGATTTACAAATATTTTCTCATTCTGTGGGTTGTCTTTCTACTTTCTTGACAGTGTACTTTGAAGTGTAATTTTAAAATAATTTTATTATGTCCTATTTTTCTTCAGAAATATGTACTAGAAATATTTTCCCTGCCTGTATCTTGTATTTTCACTTTCTTAATGTCTTTTGAAGGATGTAAGATTTAAACTTCGATTAAATCCAGTTATCTGTTTTCTTTTGTGATTAGGTTTTATGTTATCAAAAAGTTTTGCAGCCAGCTTTAATTTCCTGCTTTGTTCTAATTCCAATCATATGAAAGTAGGTTGAAATTTTCAACTAAAAATAAAAAAGAGACTAGAGAAAAAGACATTACTTTTAGGGACAGAAATCCAGATTTTCATCAGGAAGAGTATATATACTGGGAATCAGTGTAATATTGTCTTCAAATTGCTCAGGGAAAGTATTTGGAAACTTAGAATTCTATAATGTCAAATGATCATTTAAGATTGAGAACTAAATTAAGATATTTTCAGACAAATGAGACCTGGAAAGTTTACTGCCCAATGACCTTCCAGGAAAGACTTACTAAGGACATAAGCAAGAAAAGTTGAAAGAATCAACAGTGAGGAAAGAAACAAGGAAAATAGAGTTAAAATAAGTAATGGACATCGTCAAACATGAACCTTTCTAAAATAATGGACCAACAGACACACAAAAATCTTGTATGACATTTTATACATTTATTCATTGTTGAGAGATACATAT